AAAAAACCCGCGCAAATATTTTAGATGTTTCGCCTGCGAATCGCAAGACGACCAAGTTCCGAAATAAAAAGGGTGGAAACACGTAAGTGTTCGCCCTACGAGGAAATTGTTCAAAATATTGTGGGAAAAATAGTATGGTTGAGTAGAATGCACTAGAGTTAGTATAAATTGTTTGTTCTTGTATGTTTTGGAAATAACTAGATTAAAAGGGTTTTCTCTGATGCGTGCAACGAGAACGCCTTCAGCATTTACGATTTTTACCACGTCGAGAAACGCACGATTGCTACCGCAACTCAGCTGCTGCTACGACTCTCTCTCTACAAGCTCGAACTCTTGGATAGGGGCTGACCTCTGTCAAGCACCCAAGGACCCTCGAAGCTGACCCCGTGGGGAGAGTTTTTGTTGGAATATATTTATCTATATTCTATATAACTGTATGAAGTTATGTTGTAGTGTATGTAATCATTTGCTGTAGGTGGTGTACCTCCTTTCTCCTTGCTATACCTTGTACTCATCTTCTCTTAGTGCACCTCTTTGGCCAAACTCCCTCTTTCTATACCATCTCCATGCTCCTAGCTCCTAGCTCCTAATCTCCTAATCTCCTAATCTCCTAAGGTCACAGTTTAACATGTTATCAGAGTGAGGTTTAACCCCTATGCCTAAGTCGCCATGGCCTTTGCTACTACTGGCATGGATTTTGCTGATGCTTTCGCGAAATCTGCTGCTACTGTGAAATATACTGCTGCCGCGAAACCTTCTGCAACGTTCGGGCCTGCTGCCCGACGGTCGCGAAGGTCGCGACGACCAGCGTTGTCGCTGCCAGCAGCGCCAGCCGCGACATCAGCACCAACCAGCGCCAGCCGCGACAGAAGCGCCAGCAGCGCCAGCCGCGACATCAACGCCAGTCAGCGCCAGCCGCGACAACAGCGCCAGACATAACAGCAGCGCCAACCAGCGCCAGCCGCGGCCCTCCTCTCTCTCCCTGCCGCGCCTTTTGGCGTAGGGGGGAATGGTGAGGAGGTGGCGGGTGGTGGCCTGCAACATCAGCCGCCGCCCTTCTCTTCCCTCTCTCTCGCGACGGTTTTTACGGCCGTGAAGGGGGGGGGGGGGAGGGGGGGGGAGGAATGAGGGGGTGGCGGGGGTGACCAGCAAACCGCCACCAACTGCCTCTCCTCCTCATCTCTCTTCTCCGTTTCCCACCGCCTCCTCCTCCATTTGTTTGCTCCTCCAGCCATCTCCGCCGTCGTTAGGGGTGAGGTTTTGGGGGGGGGGGGGGGGGGGGGGGGGGAGGGAGAGGTTGGAGAGGTTGGAGGGGGGTGGCCGCCGTGATGCCTACATTCCCAGTCGTCAGTGAGCCCGTTGCTCCAGTCGCCCGTCGGGTCAGTCGTTCTAGCCGTACGAGCGAGATGCTCCACGCTTACGAGCCAGTTACCCCAGTGCCCGCGAGCCAGTGCTCCAGTAGCACGTGGGCTAGCAACTTCAGCCATCGACCCCCTCTCTCTCTCTCTCTCTCTCTCTCTCTCTCTCTCTCTCTCTCTCTCTCTCTCTCTCTCTCTCTCTCTCTCTCTAATGGTCCTTGTATTGATATAGCAGCAAAGTACAAGCATGCAGGTGATAGAGGTCTAGGTAACAAACAAACCAAGCATCAAATCCTACCTACTACCTCTTCTAGAGCTCCAGGAAGGGCTCGACCACCGCAAAACAATCCCCTAGGTTCAGCTCCTGCCCAATACCGCCTACAGGCGGGTTCTCTGCTGCAGCTACCTCGCCTAGCTTGAGTAGGAGGCCCACAGATTGGGCCCTCTGAAGGGCCACCGACCATCTCTGTCTGAACTGGTGCAGAAACTTCGCGGCATGGAAGGATTTTGAGTCGGCATTGAAGTGGTGCCGAGCCGCCGTGTCTGCTAAGAGCTTTAGGAAAACAGGTACCTCGGCGCATGGGCAACCGTAGGTTTCCACGGCCAGGGGGAAGAAGCCAACTGTCTCCGCCCGGTTAGCGTAATGCTTTATCTTTTTGTCGGCCTGCTCCCTTGCCGCCCACCCCCTGCCTTTTTGTGCCTCAGGGTCCCTTGTGCTGATAGGGTCCGTGATGGTAACATCACAGACATAGACCGCCCCGCTGCTTCGGTCTGTCATGGTGAAATCGGCAGTCTGTTCTTCAATGGGGCAGTGGGCGGCTGACTCGCTGTGAACTATAAACCCCGCATCCTACGCCATGCTAATGCATGCGTCCCGCAGCTCGTTGTGGGTGTTGATGCGGTGCTTGCCGGTGCCGCAGCGGAAGAGGTGATTTGGGAGGCGGGGGTCGGTGATAGCTGTGTGGTCGGAGCAGTCGCAATTCTTTGGCGTTGAAAACGGTAGCCCGAGCCGAAAGCGCACGGAGTTGGCGAAATGTACTGGGCCTATCCGTCGGTTTGGGGCAATAGGGATCGCGGTCAGCCAGTCGCCGGTGCCGTATCCCGTCAGCGAGAACATCCGCTGCGTGTGGCCTGAGAGGGGGTTCGGTTTCATGCGCCTCGTGTCCTGCACCTGCACGGCGTATCTGCTGCCGTGGACCTTCAAACCGAGTACGTGTTGTAGCCGAACGTCCGACCGTTTAAGTCGTTCCTTTTCCAAGATTTCCTGCGCGTCCCATGGCAACGCGGCTTCGCACTCCGTAAGCCATGTGTGCAGTGGTGTGGTGTCGTCCCGCGGCAAGAGCATGTGATTCCGAGCTCGGATGAGGGCGTTGCCTGGTTCTAGCGCGAGGGAGGAGAGAAAAAGTGCTGCCTGGGTGAAACTCGTCGTGTACCCGTAAACTCCGTCGATCAGTGGGTCTGTAAGGCCTATGCCTCCCAGTGATGGTGGCAGTGACGCCTGCGCCCATACTCGAGCCTGCTCGGATCCGCACGTGGGGACGCGGATATCGCATGACACTAGCAGTGCGATGAGTAGGTCCCGTCCCCACTGGCTCCAAGTACCGCGAGGGAGTAGGTGGAGGGGTGTCGTTCGAGTGAGATAGGCCACACGCCTGGAGATGCAGCGGGTGAGTAGCAGGGAAGCTACCTGAGGGTCGGCTCGTTCGAGTAGGTGTAATGGCTTCGCCATTTCTTCTAGCTGGCTTGATAGGAATTTGGCCGCTCCCATGTCGGACCCTAGGTAGCTTCCTAGAAGCCGCACCCATTCCTTTGAATACGGCACTCCAAGTGGTAGCTGCGCTTGCTCAACCGTGGACGCACTCCAGGCTGCGCACTTCTGCGGGTTATATGTTAGGCCTATGTGGGCCAATTTGTCGGTGAAGAGCGTGAAGGCTGCTACAGTGTGTGTTGTTTCCCCCAAAAAGGTGACGTCATCCGCGTACGCCAGGCAGAGCACGTCCGGATATGCCTCGGCCGTTTCGCGGAGTATGGGGTGTATCCCTGCTGCAAATAGTAACGGGCCGAGTGGGTCGCCCTGGCGAACACCGCGTTCGCTTTTCAGTGGTTCGCTGCTGAAATTGGCGTCCATATTTAGCAGCGACGGGTTACCGTAAGTCAGCTGAACTAACGGCAGCAGTTGCGAGAGGCCGGGCTCTTGTAACGCTGTTGCGATGGCTTGTCGTGAAATACTGTTGAAGGCATTCGAAATGTCCGTCTGCAGTACCAGGCTGTCGGGACGGGCATCCAAAAATGCCCTGGCTGCGTGGATTACCGCTTCTGCTCCACCTGGCACAGCCACTCCGTATTGAAGGGGTAAGAAGTGTTCGCGGGCAGCTTCTCCCATGGCTGCGAGGGCTGCTTTGGCTACCAGCCTGGTCAGACACTCGCCTATCGCGATTGGCCGTGCGCCACCTCCAGGTTTGGCCAAGGCGATGAGGCGTGATGCTGTCAACAGGTTCGCCACCGAGCCAGGTAAGTTTCCCCCCAGTATCGTGTTTACCAGGGCGTGCAAATGGGTGCAGATCGCTGCATTGGTTACGGCCGCGTCGTGCAGATGTTCGAAGGTCGTGCCTGACGGACTTGCCCCCACTCCATTTTCGCACCTTCCCAACATTTTGGCGAAATTGGCGTGGTTGATGGATAACTTTGACCCCCCCGTCGCCGGCCAAGTCAACCCCGCGTGTGCAGCAGGTGGGTGTTTTCGGCGGAGGTCGTCCAGGATTTCTGGGCTTGGTGTGCAGAGTGGTGTTGACTCCAGGGCCAGAACGGCTCTCCGCAGACCGCCACGTTTTGCCAGGCCTTCGGCTCGGCTGATGACTCTAGTCGTGTCAGGCTGGTGTCGTGGCGGTGAAGGTGTGTTGACCGCCTCCACCGCGTCCAGATACAACTGTTCCCATTCGCCACGTTGGAAGGCTCGGAGCCGGGCTTTGACCTGCGGCCAGTTCGGTCGCTGCGGCGAGGTCTGGCGAAGTGTTAGGCGCGGGAGAAACAGGAGCAGGCGCCATCCTGCTTCGGATTCGGGGTTTCGCGCAAGGTGGAGTAACGGTGACAGTAGCGTCAGCGAAAACAGCTGACACAAATTTGGCGGTAGACGCCGTGACAGCGAGGGCTGTCGACTATCGCTAAGTGCTGCGATGTCCCAGTTCTCGATGGCATCGAATAAATCTACCCGCTTCGCTAGCTCGTCAGGCAAAAAATAGCGGGGAATGGGAGCGGTCTGGCGCATCGTGGCATCGGCATTGGCGGTTTGATTTCGCCGAGCGCGGCCCGACCTCGCTGGTGAAAATGATGTTGGAATAATGCCCGTCCGATCGGCGTCAGACGGTCCCGGATCTGCTTGTGGGCGTTGCAAGGCTAGGCTCCCTAACTCTGCTACCCTTCTCCCCGCCGTCTCTCTCGACCCGTCTTCCTCCTCAGGTTCTCCTTCTTCGCTCTCGGGAAGGGATTCTTCCCTATAACTAGGGTCTCTTAATTCCTCCTCCTCATTAGTTGCTTCCAAAGCGTTTAAAGCCCTTCGTGCCTCTGCTTGGTACTCATTCTCCGGACCTCCACCTGTCCCGCTGACAGCCTGCCTCCTAGCCCCGCGGCCTCCTTCTTCTAGCGATGGTGATTGCTGGTTCTGCCGAGCCGTCGCCAGAGCGCGCTGCCGCCTGGTCGGCTGTGGTCGCCAAGCCCCATTCGGCCCCCGAAAAGGTGACCACGGCGACGCAGCCCCCTCTACCGCCGGCTCTGAAGCCCGCGACAACAGTCTCTGAAACGACTCTTCCCCTCGTACCCGCGGATCCCCTTGCCGGGGGCGAGACGGGCCCGGCTGCCCCTGTTGTTGATCCGGCCGCTCCGGCTACTGCTCCGTATCCCCTCGCTCCCATGGTTGCGCCGACGGCGTCTGCTCCTGCTGGGGGAGTTGCTGATCCCCCTGCTCCTGCCCTTGGCGCACCTGTTGCGCCGGCCGCTTCTGTCCCCGACGTGCCTGCGCCGTTGTCTCCTTCGTCCCCGCAGGCGGGGTCCGCCACCACTGGCGGCCCGACCCCGATGGTTGAGACTCCGGCCGTGGAACCGAATGCACCTGCTGTGCTGCCGACGGCCCCGGTAGCGCAGCCGTCTCGTCCCCCATCGCCAGACCGCCGTCTATCCCGCCCCCATTCTCCCGCACCCCAGCAGGAGCGCGAGTCGTCGCGGCGCCGGCGTAACTCTCCCAGGCGCTACCAGCCGCCAGCCCAATGGCCTGCTCTCCCCGGTGGCAATGCGGGCTGGAGGGGTCCCCGCGGGCGTGGTGGTGGCGGGGGTTACCGCCCGCCTGTGACAATGGCGGATCTTCAGCGGGAAGTGTCGAGGGCCGTGCGCGAGGAGAGGGCGGCGCAGAGCCAGAGCAGTTCGCCGCGGACCGCGCCAGCGCACGTGGCTGCTCTTCAGGCTGTGCCTCCCGTGGTCCCTCCGCCAGCTGCTGCACTTCCTCCTCCAGTCCTTGCCCCATCGGCTCCTGCTCCTGCTGCCTCGGCACCTCCCTCCGGCTCTCGTCTTCATCTGCCGCCGGTTCCGCCTGTTGCGGGAGTGGAGTTTGTTGCTGCGGGTGGTGGCTCGTCGGCGCAGTATTCCCACCACGTTGCTGCGGATGAGCCACTTCTTTTCCTGACGGAGGCACTTCAGCCTCCGCAGACGCGTGTTCCCGAGGCGACGCTTGGCCAGCTCCACCGACTCGCGGAGAGCCTCCACGCGTTGCTGCTGATACAAGTTATCGCTCACTCGTCCCTCCCCGTGATTCCTCCAGAGACTTTCCGCGGCCGCCAGCGTGACACGTGCTTGGACGCGGCGGACCAGCTCGCGTCGCTGCTGGCGCCCGTGTTGGCTGCGCCCGCGGAGGGTGGCGCTGCTGCTGCGGGACAGCTTGACGAGGCTGTCCGGGGCTTGAGGCGGCACTTGCGCGCAGGATCTGGAGCCGCGGCGATCGGCGCAAGCACGCTTGTGGTCCAGGAGCTGTGGCGCTCCCTGACTGGCGTTCTTCACGCCCTAGGAGCTCACCGCATGTAGACGCGGGCTCCGGTTGCCCCATGGTTGTCTTGCTTGGCTAGGCTGCCGTAGGAAATGCCATGCTTGTAATGCCTTTGAATATGAACAACTTGTCAAACATTATACATGTTCATATTGTGTAGGCTATAGTGGGTTTAGCCTTAGGGGGTACAACATTGCTAGGGTTTCCTACTTGTATCACCCTGCTGCCTAGTTTCACACATTCTCGTTCAGTTCTACATTCTAACATGGTATCACGAGCCTAGGTTGCTACCTAGGACCGCTTTCTCCTACGGGCCCACTATTCCGCTAGAAGCGCCCTCGTGCGCCCTACCTTACGTGCGCCCTCGTGCGCCTTTCTATACTCGTGCGCCCTCGTGCGCCCTCGTGCGCCCTACCTTACGTGCGCCCTCGTGCGCCCCCGTGCGACCCGCCCTTCGGTCTGCCCGCGTGCCGTCCTGCAGCCCTCGCGCTGCCTCCTGCAAGCTAGTACGGCCCTCGAGCCGCCCCTGCAGGTCCGTCAGGCCCCCGAGCCGCCTCTGCAGACCCTTCAGGCCCCCCCGAGCCGCCTCTGCAGGCCCATCAGGCCCGAGAACCGCCCCTGCAGCCAGCGCGCTGCCCTGCCGAGCCGCGTGTCGCCCGTGGGCGCTGCCTCTGCCCCGTCGCGCTGCCCTGGGGAGCCGCGCGCGACCCCCGCTGTCCCGTCGCGTCGCCCTGGGGAGCCGCGCTCGGCCCCCGCTGCCCCGTCGCGACGCCCTGGGGAGCCGCGCTCGGCCCCCGCTGCCCCGTCGCGACGCCCTGGGGAGCCGCGCTCGGCCCCCGCTGCCCTGTCGCGACGTCCTGGGGAGCCGCGCTCGGCCCCCGCTGACCCGTCGCGACGCCCTGGGGAGCCGCGCTCGACCCCCCGCTGCCCCGTCGCGACGCCCTGGGGAGCCGCGCGCGCCCCCCCCCCCCCCCCCCCCCCCCCCCCCCCGCTGCCCCGTCGCGGCGCCCTGGGGAGCCGCGCGCCGCCCCCCCCCCCTCGCTGCTGCCCGAGCCACCCTGCAGCCCGCGAGCCGCCTCTGCAGCGCCGAGTGCGCTCTGCCAAACCCTAAAATGAATAATTAATTATTAAAAAAAAAAAAAAAAAAAAGGGAGCAGCTGCCCCTGGCCCCTGGAGCAGCCGCCCCTGCAGCAGCCGCCCCTGGCCCCTGGAGCAGCCGCCCCTGCAGCAGCCGCCCCTGCAGCAGCTGCCCCTGCAGCAGCCGCCCCTGGACCTCTGCAGCCGCCCCTGGCCCCTGGAGCAGCCGCCCCTGCAGCTGCCGCGGAGCCCTCGCCCTGCATTGGTAGCGGCCTCGCCGTTACCACCGTCGTACGCCTGCCCTTCTCGCCACTGGTGAGCACTGCCCTGCCCGTATTGCTATTACTGCTGCTCCTGCTGCTACTGCTCTTTCTACTTCTACTGCTGCTCCTGGCGTGGCCAGATGCAGCTCCAGCGCCGTCCGCGTGAGTCCCTCACGCCCCAACAGCTTCGTGAGTGGTATGCTGGTTGGGGTTGTAGGGGTGGCCGCGCTGCTGCTACTACTACTGCTGCTACTACTGCTACTGCTGCTCCTGGCGGTGGCCAGATGCAGCTCCCGCGACGTCCGAGTGAGTCCCTCACACCCCAGCAGCTTCGTGAGTGGTACGCTCAGCGTGGAGGGTCACGGGGTACTGCTCGCTGCCCGTACGTCATTCGCACTGGTGCTCGGACTGGTCAGCCTTGCGGGACGTTTGGTCACACAGAGTCCCGCTGCTTCGCTCGTCTGAGCGACGCCTGGCGTACAGAGTTTGGCGACGCGGCTGAGCTCCCCGACTGGGTGGAGCTGCTTAGGCAGAGGGTAGATATCTATGCTCTTGACTATGATGCTATCCTCACTGCCATGTATGCATTTCCTACTAGTGCTGAGAGTGCCTGTCACCTGTGTGTGCCGCCTGACCCCGGTATCCAGTCTGCTGCTCTAGGTACTGGTGAGGCTGCTGCACTAGGTGCTCGTGTGTCTGTTGCCCCAGGTGCTGGTGAGGCTGCTGCTCTAGGTACTCGTGAGTCTGCGCCCTCTGGTACTGCGTCTACTGAGGCACTGCACACCTTCACACTGGACTCAGGCGCTTCCCGCTGTTTCTTTCGTGACCGCACTGCCCTTGAGCAGCTTGCTCGGTGGTTGCAGTCTCCCTCGCTGACCCCTCTGGGGGTCCGGTCATTGCGACCTCCTCTACTGTTCTCCCTTGTCCTGCGGTCCCGTCGGGCACTCTGTCAGGTCTCTACCTCCCTTCGTTCTCTACGAACTTGGTGGCGGGTAGTGCGCTCCAGGACGGGGGTGTCCACCAGTTTACCCCTGCCTACGAGCGTGTGACACACTGCACGTGCGCTCGGACGGGCCGCCACCTGGCTACCTTCACTCGGCAGCCGGGGTCGGACCTGTACACACTGACCACTGAGTCCCCACAGGTAGCTGCGTCTGCGTCTGCGTCAGGTCAGCTGTCTGCCCCCTGCTCGTGTCGCTCTCTGGCACACGAGACTGTCCTCTGGCACCACCGTCTTGGTCACCCGTCAGTGCAGCGCCTTCGTGCCATGCACAACCGGTACCTTGTCTCTGGTATTCCCAGGGTTCTCCCTCCACTCCCACCCTCGCCTGCTCCTCCCTGCCTTCCCTGTGTCGAGGGGCGGCAGCGCGCCGCTCCTCACTCCTCCTCGTTTCCCCCGACGACTGCTCCCTTGCAGACGCTCCACATGGACGTGTGGGGCCCAGCCCGCGTCCGTGGACAGGGTCAGGAGAGGTACTTCCTGATCGTTGTTGACGACTACTCGCGCTACACCACGGTCTTCCCCTTGCGCACCAAGGGTGAGGTCCCTGATGTTTTGATCCCTTGGATCCGCGCTTCTCGTCTCCAGCTCAGTGAGCGGTTCCACTCGGACTTTCCTGTCCTGCGTCTGCACTCTGACAGAGGTGGTGAGTTCTCCTCTGACCTCTTGGCAGCCTACTGTGCGGAGCACGGCATCCGCCAGTCGTTCACGCTTCCGGCCTCTCCACAGCAGAATGGGGTTGCTGAGCGCCGCATTGGTTTGGTCATGGAGGTCGCTCGTACCTCCTTGATCCATGCGGCTGCCCCCCACTTTCTGTGGCCGTTTGCGGTCCGATACGCTGCGCATCAGCTCAACCTCTGGCCCCGTGTCTCCGTTCCGGAGACTTCGCCGACACTGCGTTGGACGGGAGAGGTTGGCGATGCGTCGCGTTTTCGGGTCTGGGGATCCCGAGCTTTTGTTCGCGATACGTTCGCGGACAAGCTCTCCTCCCGCGCTGTTCCCTGTGTCTTCCTTGGCTTTGTCCCGGACGCGTCTAGTTGGCAGTTTTACCACGCCACCTCGCGCCGTGTCCTGCCCTCTCAGGACGTCACTTTTGACGAGTCCGTGCCCTACTACCGCCTCTTCCCCTACCGCACTGCCCCGCTCCCCCCCCCGCTTCTCTTCCTCGCGCCAGGTGCTGCTGTGGTAGACCCCCTCCCCCCTCAGGGTGCCGCTCCCTCAGGTGTGTCCCAGGTAGACCCGGTTGAGCCTGTCGAGGTAGCTGTCGACTCTCGTCCTGCCAGGGGTGCTGAGCCTGGGGGTGCGGGGTCTGGGGGTGCGGAGCCTGCGGGTGCTGAGTCTGGGGGTGCTGAGCCTGGGGGTGCGGAGCCTGCGGGTGCTGAGTCTGGAGGTGCTGAGCCTGGGGGTGCTGAGCCTGGGAGTGCTACGTCTGAGAGTACTGAGCCTGAGCGTGCTGCACCTGGGGGAGGCCTCTCCTCGCAGCAGCTGCGTGAGTGGTACTTACAGTACTGCAGCCTCAGGAGAGGTGCTTCTGGAGCTCGGAGTGGTGCCGGAGCTGGTGCTAGTGCTTCCCCTCCTAGGCGGGAGCTCCCCTCTCCCCAGCAGCTCCGAGAGTGGTACGCTAGGCGCTGCAGTCTCCGGAGTGGCGCTCCCGGTGTCGTGGACTCTGGAGCTTCTGGAGTTACTGGAGGTGCTGCTGCTGCTGGCGGTGCGGCTGGCGCTGCTGGAGGTGCTGCTGGTGCTGCTGGAGCTGCTGGAGGTACTGCTGCTGCTGGAGGTGCTGCTGGCGCTGCTGGAGGTACTACTGGTTCTGGTGCTGCTGGAGCTGCTGGAGGTGCTGCTGCTGCTGGCGGTGCGGCTGGCGCTGCTGGAGGTGCTGCTGGTGCTGCTGGCGCTGCTGGAGGTGCTACTGGTGCTGGAGCTACTGGAGCTGCTGGTGGTACTGCTGCTGCTGGCGGTGCTGCTGGCGCTGCTGGAGGTGCTGCTGGTACTGGTGCTGCTGGAGCTGCTGGAGGTGCTGCTGCTGCTGGTGGTGCTGCTGGCACTGCTGGAGGTGCTGCTGGTACTGGAGCTGCTGGGGACCCTGCTGCTGCTGGCGGTGCTGCTGGAGCTGCTGGGACTGGCCCTGCTGAGGGGGTTGGAGCTGGAGGTGCTGAGCGGCCACGGCTGTACTACGTTCCGCTCCTTCAGCAGGTTCTTGGCCTTCCGCCCTCTCCTGGTCCTACTCCTCCCCTACTGAGTCCACCGCTTGTCCAGTCGCAGTCACAGTTACAGCCAGTCTCCCCACTTCCTGGTCCTTCTCCCTACACTGCGCCGACGGGAGGTCTTACGGAGCGTCGTGAGCCTGAGTCTCGTCCTCCGTCACCTGAGACTCGTCCAGAGTCGTCTGACTCGCGTCCAGAGTCGCCTGTCCGCGCTGTCCGCGCTGGTCGTCGTGTTCCACGTCAGCGTCCTCCTCCTGTCCTTGGCACTCACTATATGACCCTGCGTCCCTCTACTGCTCCACAGCGTGTCCCACTGCCGTCTCCACCAGCGTCCTCTCTTCCTGCTCTTGCTGACCCGGAGTCTGACTCTCTTCGTGCTGCCAGTCCTACTGTCACGCGTCTCCTTGCCACTGCTGTCACTGACCCTTCCTTTGAGTCCTCTGCTGCGTCTGCTCTAGTCGCTGAGCTTGTTGACTTTGCTGCTGCCTGTCGTCTAGACTACGCCGCTAGCCTTGTTGCTGAGTCTGAGTCTGAGTCTGTCTGTCCTCCGTCTGTCGGGGGTGAGTGTGCTCTTGGCACGGACGTCCTTGAGGACAGACATGAGGAGTTTGAGTGCTTTGCCGCTGCTTTGCCTCATCTCGTGTCCATGCTAGTTGCCCCTGAGGGAGACCCGGATGCACCAGACATCCCGACCCCACGCTCCTACGCAGAGGCGATGGAGGGTCCCTACTCCTCTCAGTGGCAGACAGCCATGGACGCAGAGATGGCTTCCTGGAAGTCCACAGGCACCTACGTCGACGAGGTTCCCCCACCTGGGGTGAACATCGTCAGTGGCATGTGGATTTTCAGGGTGAAGCGGCCGCCGGGTTCTCCGCCTGTCTTCAAGGCGCGTTACGTTGCACGAGGCTTCAGTCAGCGAGAGGGAGTTGACTTCTTCCAGACCTTCTCCCCGACCCCGAAGATGACCACTCTTTGGGTTCTGCTGCACGTCGCTGCTCAGCGTGACTACGAGCTCCACTCTCTTGACTTCAGCACTGCATTCTTACAGGGCAGCCTGCACGAGGAGATCTGGCTGCGCCGCCCACCTGGCTTCACTGGGTCGTTCCCTCCTGGTACCCAGTGGAGCCTCCGGCGGCCAGTCTACGGTCTCCGCCAGGCACCCCGTGAGTGGCACGACACACTGAGGACTACTCTTGCTGCTCTTGGGTTTGCTCCTTCTACTGCTGACCCGTCGCTGTTTCTACGCACCGACACCACTCTGCCGCCGTTCTACGTTCTTGTTTACGTAGACGACTTGGTCTTTGCTACTGCTGACACTGAGGCACTCGCCCACGTGAAGTCGGAGCTGCAGAAGAGACACACGTGCACAGACCTGGGTGAGCTGACAAGCTATCTTGGCTTGCGGATCACCCGGGACAGAGCACAGCGCACCATCGTTCAGTTCTACATTCTAACACAACTGTGTGTGCCTTCCCTTGCCGTTCCCTCACGCGCGGCCGAAGGCCGCGCTGTCGGCGGCCGACGCGAACGAAAAAATTACTGCCGCCACACAATGAAGAAGAGAGGC